CTACTATTAGTTGTAATACGTAGACATTTGGAACGTTTTGGCCCCCTCTTGATACCCGAGAGAAAAGCTTGAATTGAAGCTAAGTATTTTTCAGATCATCCGTCTCGCCGCTCGCTGCGTTCATGAAACCTTCTATGTCGGGGACATTGATGTCGATGAGAAGCATTGGATCGAAACTTTAGACGTGACCCTTGCTGACAGCATAACACACAACAAATTATTGATAATTTTACTGTAGTATTGTATGAATGATATAAGTGCTTATATAATTTACATATATTACTTTGCACCAGCAGAAAACTCTGCGAACCTGAGTTTGAGTAACAAGCAGTCCCGAAAAGAAAAATTGGCGCACTGGTAACCGATTTCGTCCCCTCAGAGATTGCATGCTTAGCCAACTCTCCAGGCAATATAAGCCTGACACTAGTTTGTATTTCACGCGATGAGATGGTGGATTTCTTCGAATAAGCTGCAAGTTCTGGTTATCATAAAATGATCAATATTCAGCCAGATACGATAGCAGGAAAACAAGCAACGCATACTCGAGGCTTCTGTGGCAATACGCTCAAAGATATCATTGACGAATGAATTCAGAATCGCCATAGCCTTGTTAGAAATACCAGTATCAGGGTGTACCTGTTTCAGAACTAGTACACCGATTAACATTAAGAATGAGATCAGTGGCAATGCTAAATACCTTTATAGATGTATGAACTGTATGTCTCTTTTCGCGCCTTGCGACGCTTTTTCTTTTCGCCATCTGCAGGCTGGGATTTACTGGCTGTCTTTTTGGAGGCCTCCGTTTTAGCTGGTACTTTGGAGGCAGTAGAAGCTGGAGCCTTTCCGGCGGTGGAAGCAGGCTTAGTCAAAAACATAATCAGTACCCATCGTGGCGGACGATACAGTTTTAAATGACTTACTTTTGGTGCCATGGACAAGTTACAAAGGTTCTACAAGATACAGACTGGTTTTGACAGTCAGGACAGCTGGAGATTCCACAGACCGATAGTTGCGCACGTGTTATGAATACTAGACCTTGATGGGTAGCGCAGGAAGGTCAAGGTTAAAGACGAACGAGGGATATGTGTCATCGGTAGGTGTCGAGCTTTATGAAGGATAAACAGACATTTCAAGTTCCGCCTATAGGGCAAAGTCACGTGACTTGTATGCGCGTGAATATCACGTGCGGACGTGAACACTCGCAAGGAAGGCAATAACTTGAAGATGCAGAACAGAATACACAGGCAATTGATATTGAAAACAAAGTGCTGTAAGCTCCAGACGGCTGCGGGGCCGTACCAATTCTTAGAAGGCATTTTTCATGGAATGATGGGTAAGTATTTTCCCTTTTTGACATCGCTCAGGACTGATGCTCCCTTTCTAGGTCACTATAATATGTATGGGGATGGATGGCTGCACCGCGATATCAGCGATGGTAACGTTCTATTGTTACCAGAGCCCGAAATACGAAAGCCTCTGACACGGTAGGTCCTCTTAAATTGATAATGAGCTCAAAGCGGTATTGATGTCAAAGTATTCTAGGTTCGAATGCACCAAGAACTTGACAAAATGTGTGGGCGTGATCTCTGACGGCGACCAGGCAATCAGATGGCGAGAGCTAGATCGCAAGCTTGAGAAACGTCGTTCGGTAAGTAGCTCATCTTCGGGCTAGCCTGTTATTTAGTCTTAAAATCATTTCAGGGAACACTCCCTTTCATTTCTATGCGCTTGCTGAACGCGTGGAATAAAAATCAACCCGTGCTTCATACATTTGCGGATGACTTGGAATCTTTCTTCTGGGTCATATTATGCGTGTTGTTGAACATTGGCCACGAACGTAAAAGCTTAACGATTGACGAGGGACGATGGCTTCATAAATTACTGGCTGCAGACGATCCTGACTCTAGCGAAACGAATAAAAGATCCACGCTGCAGATGCTGGAGGCTTCAGTCCTGAGAACAAAACACAAACTTTCCCCTGTTTTGAAGGTTTTCGTACCCTTTTTCACAGACATCATACCGCTCATGAAAGAGGCTACGATGGCCGTTGATGAGCTCAATTCAGACAACTTGGTTGAATCTCTAACGACACTCGGAGACAAATTTTACGAAGTGTGGTTTACAGCTTTCCTACGTGCACTACCATCATTGCCCAAGACCTGGGACGAAGTTTTGAAACCTCCAATTTGATCACAGAGACGCTTTACCACCCGCCCGTGTCGTCTCATCCTACATATCTCTGTCACTGCCCTCCCTACCATCATCTCAGGACTATCCTGTACATATCAATATGCATGTATCTACTTTGTTAAGTTAGTCGTTCGTTGCACCCTGAGAGGTAACAGTGTCATTCATTTTATTACTTTTTCCTGTAGAGACAAGATTTGAGCCCTCGGATTATATTCCTTGTCGCAGAGAAATTTTGTTCAGTATTTAAATAGAATATAGCGCATTGGATTTAATTAATGTATGGGATGGTCCCATGTTGGAGATATGAGAGAAACAAGCGTGGTATGAAGGAAAAAAGTGGCGCAAGCGCCAAACTAGGCAGGCCTAGTAGATGAAGTGGCCCGTGCACCATCAGATAGCATTTCGTTTTTTTTGGTTTGGTTCTCCCTTATATACGCTGTCGTCGTTAGGCAGACACCTCAGACGTTCACTCGAAGTCTGAGTTGAAATCCCTTTTATGTTAAACTTACGCGTACCTAGTGACAAATTATGACATTTGTTTATAGTATGAGAAAACATGCATTGGCTAAGAAAACTAAGTGAAACTCAGCTGCTGCCCGAGAGGCTATAGAAACAACTGTATTATTTACCTAAGTGAAACTACAATAGATGTCAGTTTAAGGTGATCTCTAATAAATGTAATGTAACATACCTCAGCTGCTGCCCAAGAGGCTATAGAAATGACTGAGGTATTCCTATACTAAACCCCCTACTACTTATAGTCGGAGGTGCTACTCGCTATCTTGCAGACAGGCTTCCCATATTTGATTGACAAGGGGACCGGAGACTACCAGGAACACTAGACGCTGTTTTATTTGGATGGTAATAAAACTAAGTGAAACTCAGCCGCTACCCGAGAGGCTATAGAAACGACTTTATTATTTACCTAAGTGAAACTACAATAGATGTTAGTTTAAGGTGATCTCTAATAAATGTAATGTAACATACCTCAGCCACTGCCCGAGAGGCTATAGAAACGACTGAGGTATTCCTATACTAAACCCCCTACTACTTATAGTCGGAGGTGCTACTTGCTACAGTATAATGACTCCTAGGAGAACAATGGTGACTCCATGGAGTGGTGGCTATGCTCCATGGAGAACAATGGCTGCTTTGGCAGAGACCGGTTTTATCCGGTTTTGTCATGGCATCCGATGTTATTGGTCTAGCAAGATGATGGACTCAGACTTTGAGTGAAGGTCTGATATATTCTGAATAATGTATTTAGCAAGGTAATAGACTGGAAATAAAGTATGAGCTAGGTATCACAACACAATGGGATTTGCACCCGTGTACAGTGATTCTGGACCTTCCGGGCATGCAACCAATCAGTATGCTTTCCAAGTACGCCTTGGTAGCTTAGTTGGTAAAGCACCAGACCATGAAAGCTGGAGTCCCAGGTTCAAGCCCTGGCCAATGACAAAACTGGATAAACCCGGTATCTGCCAAAGCAGCCATTGTTCTCCATGGAGCATAGCCACCACTCCATGGAGTCACCATTGTTCTCCTAGGAGTCATTATACTGTAGCAAGTAGCACCTCCGACTATAAGTAGTAGGGGGTTTAGTATAGGAATACCTCAGTCGTTTCTATAGCCTCTCGGGCAGTGGCTGAGGTATGTTACATTACATTTATTAGAGATCACCTTAAACTAACATCTATTGTAGTTTCACTTAGGTAAATAATAAAGTCGTTTCTATAGCCTCTCGGGTAGCGGCTGAGTTTCACTTAGTTTTATTACCATCCAAATAAAACAGCGTCTAGTGTTCCTGGTAGTCTCCGGTCCCCTTGTCAATCAAATATGGGAAGCCTGTCTGCAAGAGAGCACTGTACAACCACAGATATTACCCTGCAGATTACTAAGTGGTTTAAGGAGACTATTAACCCCATTATTGTCATACAGTCTTTAAGATACTTGTATCAATTCTGTTTGGCAAGATCCCACAGCAACAGGCCTTGATATTAACTCAGAAGTACATGTCTCCTCACCAACACTAAGTGCAACCTTGCAAAGGCAGTGCAATAAAGACTGCTAGGCCTTCAACAAATATTGATCCTCCAATGGCTCAAGATAGTAACATGCTATGGCACTATGTATGTTGGGTTTATTATTGAACATGTTGATATTGCCTTGTGCAGTTAGTGTTACAATAACACAATTTTTGGACCTTCCCTTTGATTTTCATTCTCCGCTTTAACCTTTTTACTGTAGTTTTCATACTCCGTGCCATGCGGCACTTTCCCTTTTCTTCAAACTCCTCTTTCTCGTGCTGCACTGCCTTTATTCCTATTTTAGCTACAAATCTCTCATGCAGTGGAGCTGGTCACACCGGCTGCGCCCTCTGACATCATCAGCTACTGCTTTTATCAACTGTACAGTACATAAGTACAAACACTCTGTATTAGTATATATACCCCAATAAATCCAGGAGACTCCTCAGCGAGTCCTTTTGTTGTATACCAACTAACTCACTGCAGCCTAAGGGGTAACCACTCCCTCATCACTACCTTTATAGTGTATTCCTGTGTGCGCCAGAGTAACTAACTCTTGGTTGTTACAGTTAGGCCACACTTCCTGTGCAAAATCTTGCAGTCAACAACAAAGCCATCTTAAAATACGCAGGAGGCTGGATGAGACCTGGAAATTTCCAAGATAAAAGATATCTATCAGGACCTATGTTGATGAAGCAGAAGTTTTCAAGCTGGTCTTCCGTATCTGCAAGGAGGGCAGGGAAATAAAGGAAATAGTCTGGCAAGGCTTCTAGTAGCCAAAGACTCTGTAAAACTAGTCTGTGTGCTACTTTTACAGCTCACCTATCATTAATACAAGACTTTCAATTCTTTGTGCTGAGGCCTGAGATGAGTGATCAGTGAGTCAATTTTCCCCAGAAACTTGGCAAATATGAAGCTGATCTCTTACAGATGCGGTTGGACACCAGTGGATTGGTACAAGGAAGCAGATAGTAAATGTGGGCAGCAGAATGAGCGCTCAGATTTCAGAAGCAAGGAACAGAAGTACGGAGGCAAGGGGCGATTGCCTCAAGATTTCCTGGGAGGGTCCCAGAATAGTCTGGTCCGAAGTAAGGACCTTTGGCAGGACCCCCCACTTCAGTAGTAATAGAGAAGGCACCATGAGCGGCACATTCAGCTTGAACTTGGCATTTTGTGGCTAGTCACACCAGGAAAAAGCACATAAAGATTTCAGCTGAAACAGCTACTGTAGAGAACAAATGCTATGTACATGATCCGTACTAATGTATCACAACTACGACAATTTATGTAGCACATTGGACCTATATGACTCTGAATATCCCATTTCTTTTTGCCCATGTTTTGGTTCAGGTGTGTCTGCAATTTGTAGCGGTGTTTTAATTGGAGTGGCTGACAGTTTCACTACCTCAGTGGCTCAGTATCTGTTTGGGATGTAAGAAAAATTTGAACCTAGCATTATTTGTCATCTGAGAGCTTCACTATCAACTCTACCGATTCACACAAAAGCTAAGTGGTGAGTTATGCTGGTTAAAGCAATAGCTAGCCTTTACTGTGATGCTCAGCCATATTTGATCAGAGCAGTTGAGTTTAAAATCAAGGTGCAAAAGAGCTCAATATTTGTGTTATTGGCACCAAAGGGGGGTGTAACAACCAAGAGTTAGTTACTCTGGCGCACAACTTAGACAAAGCTATAAAGGTAGTGAGGGGAGTGGTTACCCTTAGGATAGGACCAAGTTAGTTGTGGGTAAACAACTGGAGGACTTGCTGAGGAGTCTCCTTGATCTATTGGGGTATATATACTACTACAGGTTTGTTTGTACATATGTACTATACAGTTGATGGAGGCAGTGGCTGATGATGTCATGGGGCACAGCCCGTGTGACCAGCTCCACTGCGTAAGAGACTTGTAGCTAAAATAAGGAAAAAGGCAGCGCAGCGCGAGAAGGTGGAGTTTGAACAAAATGGAAAGTGCCGCATGGCACAGTGTGTGAAAACTACAGAAGAAAGTTAAAGAGGAGAATGAAGTTTAAAGGTCCAAAAATTGTGTATTGTAACAGGGGGGTTCATGCCAAATGGTCTTACTTTGGTGCAGACCTTATTTACAAGATATCAACTCATCATAGCATGGCCCTCCGGGCAACCCTGGCCCCCCGGGGGGAGAAGTCAATCACTTTGAGGAGCAGCATATGTGCAATCAAGAACGGAATATTTATTACATTATGATGAGCAAGCATAGCAGAATGAGACAAAAACTTTAGAAGTTGAAGGGACATTGAAGTAGGTAAGGTAGAATAAAAGACACGCAGTAGGAAAGGATGAAATCAATATGTAAATAATTAGATACAAAAAGATATTCAGTTCAAGAGGAAGCAAATAATCCATGCAGATTGGACGCAGGGAACTCAACATCAGTGCTTCACCGCCATGACAGTTGCCTGAGAACTCTCCTCCAGCTAGTGAAGCTCCCTCAAATTCATCAGAAGGATTGTATAATGAATGCAACTCCAACTCTCCATCTAAACAACCTGGGAATCAGGAAGGTCCAGCGGCAAACTGTTTAGATGGTGTCGTACGCCACATTGCTATTCCACATACTCATCAGTGGTAAATTTGTTTGTTAATTAACAATGTGACGTTCAAAATTTCACAGATGCTGAAACATATCTTGCAAACAATGAACTTCTATGGAAAGGCGGTATACTGTAACAATAGTAAATGTATGACTTCCTTATTTAAGTATGTATTTTTGTAAACTTGAATACTCAGTGGGACAGCCGCACTTATGTTGATGATGAACTGCCAATGAGCATAGATGTGTTGACCGAAACTGGTACGCAATAATTCCCACAATGCAGAATCTTATTTATTACTTTTATCAACATATAGAAAATATTGGCGCTTCCTATTCAGGTTCACCTGAGCCTTCACTTTCATTTTCCAATGAACCTGACACGTTACAACTTGACGACATCAAAATTGAGTTTTATCCTCAAAGTGGTTATCCTGAACAGACTGTCCATTTTGAAGAATTTGGCCATGAAGACACATCAGCTGTCCAATTTTTTTTGGATAAAGAGCCATGGCGGCCAGTCTAGTCTCGTTTGGATTTTGAGTTTGCTGAGTTTATGCTGGAAGCGGCACTAAGCAAAGCACAAACGGACAAGCTGATATCACTTGTTCACCGATGTATGCAGAAAGAAGGGGGATCCTTCACTTTCACAAATCATGCAGATGTTCACCGTGCTTGGGACAGTGCATCTCGCACTCTCACCCCGGTGCAGTTATCTACCACAGCATTCTGATACATATATAATATTTATTGGGAATTTAAGTTTGTAGATAAGCCAATTTCAGTTCCGTACAAAAATGGAGTAAAGGACTTTGTTGTATACTACCGCCCACTCTGGGACTGGGCACTAGATTTACTTCAAGATGCTTGTTTAGCACCTCACTTTGAATGGGACGCAAAATGGCTATACAAGTATAATGGAGAATCTTTTGTTCAATTTTATCATGAACCTTGGACGGCTAATAGATGGTGGGATATACAAGTATGTATTAGTTGTAATATGTCTCTTTCATGCGCAGCATAGTGTTTAACATTGCAGGAACTATATTTATTTAGTTGTCACTACCTGAAGGAGGAAAGCCCTTTTGCTTTATCATTTATGCAGATAAATCAAAACTTTCATTGTTTGGAACGGAAAAAGGCTATCCTGTTGTTGCACGTTGTGCTAATCTTCCAGTACGGAATAGTGATGGAGTGGGTGGAGGTTGTGTAGTGGGGTGGTTACCTGTGGTAATCTGCATCTGTCTTTGTTTTGTAGGACTACTGATTGAACAAAATGGATTTATTAGGTTGCTGAAGACCAGGCAGAGTCCGGAAAGCAAGGCTATGTTAATTTCAAGTGCATCGTCTGGCATGAAGCATTTTATATCCTTTTAAAAACAATCACTGCAATTTCAAAAACAGGGTTTCAGTTTCTTCGCGCTGATCATATACTTTGACTGCTATTTCCTTTGATTCTTATTTTATCTGCTGATTATGAAGAGCAGTAATATAACATTCCTGAATATCCTATAAGTCCCCACTAATTCTGTTTTCATTTTCCAGGTGTATTATGTCCCTGATACGTGGTATTGGTAGCAAGTGTCCATGCCCAGTTTGCTACGTGCCAGCAGAGATGTTATCAGACCTTTCATTGACATTTCCACTGCGTACAGCTCAAAATTCTCGTGCTGTATTCCAAGAAGCAAATGGAATGATGTATGCAGAGGAGAAAGAGAAGTTGTACAAGAAACATGGATTATGAGCAATTGAAGTACGTGTAAATATGTACCGGTGCTACATATGCTTTGACTATTGTACAGAACATCTTTTTGGAAGGTTGCAAATTCTGACCCTCATCTTGCAATCTCATTTGACCCTCTGCATGCATACTCAGCTGGACTTTGGGGCAACCATATATGGAGTGAAATCAAGAATGCCATTGATGGGCTCAGCAAGAAAGCATTGGAAAAAGTAGACAATCAGTACTACCTTGCTTCGCTGTCAATTAATATTATTTACTAATTTTATGTCAGGTCTTCTCTGTTCCCTTGCTGGCCTAACCTCAATCATTTTGAAAAAATTACAGGTATCTCATTCAGTGACGGCTCAAAGCTTGAAGATATCGCAAAAGTACGGCAGCTTGATGGAAGTTTAAGATAATCTCATTGTTTTGTTTCTAGATCACTATATTTGTCTCGCACAACGTTCTTCAAAGCCAGGATCACCCAGAAGGATATCTACTACTTCAATGTCTCCGTAGCTACCTCAATTTAGCTATGTACATAGGATTTGATGTTCATACAGACAAGACAATTGATGCTGGTCAGAGAGAGCTTCTTAAATTTTCATTGTTGCTTCAGGTAGGTGTGAAATGATTTGACACGCTGGAAATAGCTACTGATAATAGGTGAAATATGTAGGAATACTCATCAAAGATGTCCAAAAATTGGAACTTCCCAAAAGCCCACACACACAAACATGCATTTGATGACATCATTGCAAAAGGAGCCACTCAAAACTACAATACAAAACCCAATGAAAAACTACATGGTCCCCTCAAGAAATTATATGCACTGCAAATGAATGGAAAGCAAGTGACACAGCAGGCACATATTCTCTTTGTTCTTGGATTTTCATTTTCTTAGCTTATGTTTGCAGATATTGAAGATAGACCATTGGTCTCTTGTTTCAACTTATATTCGGACACAGATAGATATTTTGGACACATCCCATGAACCACCAACTGACAATCTTGAAACTGTCGCTCCTTCTAATATAAGCAACCACATCACCTTTGGTTCACCACAAGTTGCAGTCACACTTGGAGAATTGGAAACCAGCTGCACAAACACCATATTCAAAGACTTTCGCAAGAGACTATCAACGTTTATGACAGATTTCTTACCCGCATATGGAATTCCATTTCCAGAAGGGAAAGGCATTAAATTTTTGCCTTCTGATCTCGTATGTTCATGTCCACCCTCAAAATTTCAATTTAATCACTACACAACAGATCAAAGAGTATCGGTATTTAAAAGTTAGCTATGAGTCAACTGTCGATTGGCAAGAGGCACAAGATTATCTATGTTGCAGCCCCAACTTCCATGGTCATGAACGCCGTGACAGTGTCATCATACAGACTGTCAATGGCGAAATATTTGCTCGCCTCCTTTTTCTGTTTGTGTGTACAGTGGATAAAGTGCAGTACCCACTTGCCATGATACAGCCGTTCGATTCACCCACAGGCGTGGCTCATCGTAAAGATAAGGCTTTAGGCCTAATTAGGGTGCGAGCAAGGTCTCAAGCAGCTTGTGAATTCGTCAGTATACATTCCATCATCTGGGGGGCTCTTATTGTTGAAGACTTCAGTAAAGTTGGCGATTCATTTGTGGTTGGTGTGGTTGATGGAGATATGTTCTTACGCCTACAGCATTTACGTCAAATTTGATTCCCTGTTAACTTTGATGCAGCTCATTTCTTTTTCAGACAGTTTGAACAGCACATTATTGAATAAAAATATTGATTTGGAATATAATGATTGTGTCCATGCTATACTGTTCAGAAAAAGTCTAAGGAAGACTCCGGCAGAGACTTGATGAACCGGAGTCTCAAAAGTGCAGCAAATGACAACCACCATGTCTCAAAATGTTTGATGTTGATGAGCCTTCATTGATGCTTCATCGGGCTCTTCAACTTGCCTGGTCCTCAGAACATAACTAGCCGACCCAACTGGTTGGACCAATTCCGCATTGGCTTTGCCAGTGAATATTACAATTGACATACCAGTACCTACTCACACTTTACTTTTCCTACTTTACTTTTACTTTTTTTCAAGTCACATGACCAGTCATGTGACCATTTACTTTACTTTTCATTTTCGGACCTTTCCTTTGATTTTCAATCTCCGCTTTAACCTTGTACTGTAGTTTTCACACTGTGCCATGTGGCACTTCCCTTTTTAGTTCAAACTCCACCTTTCTCGCGCAGCGCTGCCTTTATTCTTATTTAAGATACAAATATCTCACGCAGTGGAGCTGGTCACACGGGCTAGGCCCCATGACATCAGCAGCCACTGCCTCTAGCAACTGTACAGTACATATGTACAAACAAACATGTATTCAGTATATATACAAGAGCAATACATGGGGAAGGACTCAGCGAGTCCTCCTGTTGTATACCAACTAACTCACTGCATTCCAAGGGGTAACCACTCCCTCTTCATCTTCTTTATAGTGTGTTCCTGTGTGCTGTTGATGATGAGAACTGCTGTTAGAAAACCACACACAAAAACAAACTAACACACAATCCTCCCAGATTCCACGGAACTTGTTTATGGGCTTTGCCTCCTAAAACAGTGGGTGCTCTGGTTGTTCGTGGGGTGGTATGTATAAGGATCTTTCAAAGTAAAACCCAGAGATATATAGGTGTGGGCTTTGAGGAGGAGGGATAGTTGAATTTATAGATGATAGGGGCTTAGTAACGAGTATAGATGAGCACTACCTTGCTAATTGTAGCACAAGGTAGGTTTGAGAACGACAAGGATGAAGAGGTGACGAGGTTCCCAGTGATAGCAGGCTCCTGATGCACAAACTGTAGTGCTCAGAAGGACTCTAATCGAAAGGGATAACAATCACTTCAAAAGTGGGAAGTGACGATGACAGCAGTTGACAATGGTAGAAGTGGGAAGTGTTGTGACCACACTGGATCACAAGTAGCAGAGTAGTGAACTTGAGAGTAGAGAAGAAGTCTTGATTGGAGTTCTTGTTTTTTTACAAGGTAAAATACAGGGGTTTATATAGTAAAAGAAAAGTAGGCTATGCATAGTATAGCTGTGCAAAAAGAATGAGAAAGAATATGAAGGAAGGAATGTACGCTGACGAATTCTGCGTAGGTAGTACAGGATAAGATTGTCAAAAAAAGGAAAAGAAAGAGATAGAACAATGAATGCTGTGAGTAATGTCACAGGTTTGTACAGCCATAAAGTAAAGTCCAATAGCAAAAAGAGAGCAGGAAAATCATGATGTCATGGGAAGATGCAGTAAACAAAGGGCAAGGCAAAACACTATCAGTATCAACACAGTTCCTTTATTGTCAGTCAGGCATTCTAAAAAAATATGTGTCCATAAAAATGATTCAAAAATCAAAAATAATTGCACTGTAAATGAATGTTCTGCTGAAGAAAAAGAAACTGGAGCCACCGGTCCACCACCTAGTCCAAATCCGACAGTTCCATGGCCTTACCAATGGACTGGTTGTGTTGGACCACCTGATCAAACGAGGGAGGGAGAGGAGTAGTTCCAATTTGGAACAAGTGAGTCCCAGGCAGTGTGTGATAGGTGTAGCTGTAGCGAAGACGATGGACAAAAGATAAGTGTACCCAAGTGAATGGGACAGCAATGAACATGGGCGACGCAAGGGGATGAACCTTCTCCAGCTCAAAAACTACCAACCCACGCTCCAACCAGGCAAGACGAGCGGCCAATGTTTTGATAGTATATGATGGCAGATCGACGTCATGAAGATGGACCTGTTGCCCTATTTGGACCGGCCGCCAGGGCTTTGCTGATATCAGCAGTGGCACGTGGTAGTCTACGGATTGGCGACGGAAGCGGATAGGAAGTGGTGACATCAGAAATGGTGGGGGTGCAAATAAGATGAGGAGGAGGAGGGTGGAGGTGACGGAAAAGTGGATTAGAATGGGGATCCAGAAACGACCGTCAGGTGAGAATAAAAAGGAGAGGAAGGGGCCCATGGTGGGGCTAGGCAAAGGAAGGGGAGTAAGGGAAACGACAAAAGCGAGGGCGCAATGCAATGTGTAGCCAGTGGCAACGCAAAAATTTGCCAAAATGCCAAAATGCGGAAAGTACCGAATGGAAAAGCAAAGGTGAGCGTGACTGGATTGCCTAATAGAGGTGATGCTGATCAGCCACAAGTTCGAAAAAGGCAATATTAATTACTATTCCACGTGGCACTGTGTCTGTGTGGTGCAAAGGCGAGTCTTTTCGAATATTCGCTTTGTTATTGACACCTGTCCATGCTACCAATCAACTTTGGTGCATGACAGCGGCATTCAGCAGCAATTTTGGGGTCATCAAGAAGACTTGAGACTTTGACATGGCGGCCCCGCTGAGAGGTTGGTAAATCCTCAGTCTTTATTTATGTATTTGCCCATTGTCTGATTGCTCAACCACCACTTGTCTTTGCAAGATTACTGCTTTGTGCTGCAATCTCTGACACCGGCAACCCGTTTATTCCCTTCAACACCAACTGCAGATAGCTTCAAATAGCCCTGGCTTGCGTCGCCTCAAGCCCGTGCTTGCCCCCATGTCACTGTGTCTTCAAGGACTTGATTTTTTTGTTGATCAACTTCAATGCCCATGCCAACTCCTTTTGGCAATTTGTTTTCTTCTGACACCGTGCTTCTCAAGCAGGGATCTCTAGTGTGCAACACTGTTTCTTCCTCACTGGTTTCTGTTAGTTTTGGTGATTCTGCACCTTTGTGCTACCTCTATATTTTCATCTCTATATTTTCATTCCTTTCTCTATCTATTCTTCTATCATTCACTATTGATTGTGTTCTCTATTATTTCGCCTTTGTGGCTGCTTTGTTTACCTTTGTTTACAAAACTTCGGACAGTACTGCAGAGTCCAATGCTTCCTATTCTCTAGTTACTCACATTGGACTCTAGGTACTGTATACCTGTCATACTCTCTAATAATATAGTTACTCACATTGGACTCTAGTTCCAGTCCCTGATTGCTCTCAGCAAGTGGCTAGACACTTCCTTCAAGCTTTGTTCTTAATAGGTTATGAGCCCTGTGCTCTAGCCATCTTCCTGACCTCATATCTCACCATCCAAGTGTCCTACTGCTTATCCATCGTAACCATTGTCTTCTGGGACTCTTATTATCTCATCCATCACCTCAGATTACTCTGATCTCATCTTGATCTCCAACAACAACTCCTTGTTGCAAGTTACCCCCATTTTGGACGCTTTTTTGGTCTTATCTGCACCATATCTCGCCCAATCCTTATCTGATTGTCCTGTAACTTCTACCATCGTCTTCTACGGCCTAAATAACCCTAGGAGACCTGTCAGAGCAGTTGGATTTGAGCTGGATCTTTCTGTGAGCCTTCATCATCATTTGATCACCTTTTGGCCCCCTATTCCATATCTCCACATCCTGTGCTTGGATCTTGTGATATTTGGGCCATCTATTACTCTATAAAAATGTTCCCTATACCTCTGATTTGGTGGCAATCCATCCATCTTATCTGTCTCTGCATCAATTTCGACTTTTTGCCCTATTTTTCGCTTTTTGGCATATCTGGTGTGTGCGTAAAGCTCCAATCGGTCTCTACTCTGTCCATTATCAGATAGAACAAGCCTATT